GACCCTGCACCCATGTGGGAGACCCGGAAGAGGCTCCTGGCTTTGGATCGGCATAGCATCGGCCGTTGTGCTCACTTGGGGAGTGAATCATCGCATGGAAGATCTTCCTCTCTGTCTCTCCTCTCTGTATATCTGCCTTTCAATAAAAATAATAAAATCTTTAAAAAAAATTTTTTCACTGCAATTTTTAAAATTCAATACTCATTTGAAAAACATTTAACTTCATTTATAATAAAAATGCTTACTAAAACACCAATTAAATATCATTTTTGTTTATCAAATGGACATAAATGTCAAACAAAAACTGATTACTGCTGGAAACAAAATTATGAAAGAGGCACTTTTATAAATACCTCTTGCAAAAGCATCAATTAGTATATTCTTGTTGAAAATCAATCTATCTGAAATTATAAGCATGAAGGAAAGCCATACACTTTGACTTCACTTGTAAGATTTCATCTTAAAAGGTAATCAAAGATACGAACAAAAATTTCTGTAGAGTTGTCATGGTTCATTAAAACTGCCACTTTATCAGTATAAAAGTACAAAAAGAATCAATGTGAAAGTCCAACATTAGGAAATTATGGCCACAAGTCAATCGTACAACAGATTAAACTAGACACCCTGGAGCAGAATTCTAAGCATAAGGGAGTCTGTAGCTAGCACTGGCTGTGCATATATTGACCAACGAGTCTTCAGAGAGAGGAAAGATATCAAACTGGTGGTTAAGACCATGCCCACAAGAATAGACAGAAAGGGGCAAATTGTCCTGACTTGTAAAATCCTGCAAAATTGCTGATTCTGCATTCCAAAAAACATATTGAGTTTCTAATAATAATGCATACATATATATATAATAAAGAAGTAATATGGCAAAAGCAAAATAAAGTTAAATTTTAGCCCCAACATCACCACCTGAAATAAATCACTGTTAATATTAAAATATATATTATTTCAGAGTTCTCTATGCATACAGACTACAGAAACATTTTTATAAAGTAGGATTATAACTTAAATTTTTATTGAAAAGTTTTACATTTAATTTAATTTTAACAGATACAATAGAAAATAAAATTGAAGCTAAAGGAATTGCTGAAGTCCAGATAGATATTTCCTCAACACTAGAGGAAATATTTCATAAAATATCCCTCCAAGGTCTGTAGGAGGACATTGTGACCCTGGAAGGTCAGCAAGCACAGGTTTGCAGTTCATTGGACAGTATTTGCATGACAACAACCAAATGGCTACCTTTGGTATAAACAGCACGTAAATGAGAGCACCTGGTATAATACACAAAACAAAAGGAATTCCAATCAAGAGAGGGAAACAGTATGGACTCTCAGTGTATAAAGTCTGATGCCCCTAATAAACTTCGGCTTTGACCATCAGTCAGGGTCCATGCTTGTTATTATTGGCTCCGTGCATTAAGTCCATCCCTGCGGGACAGTCCAAGGAGTATGAATGTAGTGATTTATTTAACATTTCTACAACCTCACATGAGTACTCTGGACTGGCCGGGCTCGCCTGAGTATAGTCTTTTCCAGGAAGCCTTGAACCTTTTCCTCCTCTGCCTAAACAGGGATGACTTTGTTCACCCGCCTCCCTCCACACCCCAAAACAAAACAGCTGTTTGAGGCCTCCCTTCCAATACAGTTAACCCTAATTGTTCACTTCCTCCCTAACTCCTCCACCCTGACCCAAGGCATAAACAGGAACTATCAAGACATCCAATTAGATGGTCCCCAGGTTTAGGCATATTTAAATTTACAGCAGGGCCTTCAGAAAAGCATAATAGGGTTGGGGTTAAGTCCTATGCCAGAATTTTCTTTGTAGTTACAATGTTTTGACATTTGTGGTATTCATTTGTCCCTTTTCTGTTTAAATGTTGCCAGCAACTTGAGAATTTTTGTTGCTCCTGTTGTTTTGCTCATTTTCCTTTTGAAATATTTCTTATTTCTTTCTCTTTTTTATTAATTGTATTGCATCATGTGACACAGTGTTATAGGCACTGCGATTCCCCCCACCCCTCCCCGAACCCTCTCCCCATGGTGGATTTCTCCACCTTGTTGCATTACCACAGTTCAAATTCTGTTGAGGTTCTTTCATTGGAAGTATTTACCAAGCACAAAGTCCAGCATCTTATTATCTTAGTGAGTTCAACAATTTCTTGGTGAGACCATCTCTAGTCTGAAGGTAAAGCCGGCAAAGTATCGTCCCAGAAATATTCCTTATTTCATCAGTTATCATGGGAGGATGATTCTATGATCTGATTTTACCTGCCTTCTTTACCTACATGTCTCCCATAGCCACAAGATTAAAATTTTGATGCTGGGTCACACAGCTCCAGAATGTGTTAATACTGATTAGCCTTTCTAAACCAAGAAGATGGTTAGAGGTAAAGACAAGCACATTTCCCTGTTGTAAACTGCCAGAGCAGAGAAAAAAATAGGAACAAAGTCGAGGAAGATCTACCCTTAACAATAACAAAAAAAGAGGAGCAGAGTGGTGAGGAACCATCGCAATGGTTGAGTGGCAAAATGCTCTCCTTGCATGTGCTGGGAACTCATGCGAGTGCCAGTTCATGTCCCAGCTGCACCACTTCTGATACAGCTCCCTGCCTGTGGCCTGAAAAAGTAGTAGAGGATGGCCAAAAGCCTTGGGACTCTGCACCCACATGGCAGACCCAGAAGAAGCTTTTGGCTCCTGGCTTGGAATCAGCTCAATTGCTACAGCTGCAGTCTCTGGGAACTGAGCCAGCAGATAGATCTTTTTCTCTGACTCTTCTTTTCTCTGTAAATTTACTCTTCCAATAAAAAGAAATAATTTTTAAGTGGGTTTCTCTAACTGTAAAGCAGTTGCTTGCTGCCTGTGAAACTTTTCTGAGGAGTCTGTTCAATCCATGGCTTCTAAGGAGAGTTAGTCCTCTGATGATCTGACCCAACTTAAAATGTCCTTGTCCTATAAACATCTAGACAGACAAGATCTTTTTAAATGTTTGTTTGTTTGTTTGAAAGAATTACAGAGAGAGAACGGCAGACATGAAGAGATCTTTCATACTCTGATTCGCTTCCCAAATGGCCATAGGCTGAAACTAGGAGCCAGGAGCTTCATGCAAGTCTCCCAAATGGGTGCAGGGACCCAACCACTTGGCCCATCTCCCACTGCTTTCCCAGGGATATTAGGACGAAGCATGAAGCTGAATTGGAAGCAGAGCAACTGGGACTTGACTCAGTGCTCATATGAAATGCTGACATGGAGGCAGCAGCTTTACCTGCTCTCACACCCCTACCCCCACGTTTCAAGATGCTGACTAACCAAAATATTTATTGAGTACCTACTATGCACTTAACTCTGTACTTAATCCTATAGGCAACTATTAAACACTGTCTGACCTTACAGAACTCTCCAGTTGCCAAGATAAGATATATTCACCCCCAACAGTGGCAAAATAGCTCAGAAGAGGAGATAAGTGTTCCTCTTTGGGCTCAGATTGAGTCTAAAGGTTTGATTAGGCTGATTAAATCCATTGGGAAGGCCATAAGAGGCCATTTTGTCCAACTTTCACATTGGAGCACTCATCATAAATGCCTATTTGTTGAGCAGCCATTGCTGGTTGTTAACTGATAACTGTAACCGACACTTTAAAAATGGGAAATTACGGAGCTCTTTGTTGTAAAAGGTTTTTGAACTACCTATTACTCAACTCAGTTTTCCCTCAGAAGCACATAAAACTGTCATTCTCAGTCACATTGAGTCAGCCGCGGCTCACCCAATGCTACCTTAATGTAGAGGAAAGAGGGGGGAATTCAATTATGTTGAGCAAGAGGTTGGATGCCTCTAGCCCCCACACTGTTCTAGCTCCTCTGCAACAGAATGTGGACCTGTTACCCATAAATCGAAGTCAGTTTGTTAAACACAATTGTAACCTTGGGTGACAATGCAATGCAAAACAAAGTAAAGGAGCCAGCATTGCAGCATAGCACGTGAAGCCACCGCCTGTGACACCACCATCTGATATGTGCACCTGGGAAAACAGCAGAAGATGGCTCAAGTGTTTGGGGCCCTGCCACGCAACTAGAATAGAGCTCCTGATTCTTAGCTTCAGCCTGGCCTAGAAATAGCCATTGCAGCTATTACAGCTATTATAGCCATTGCAGCCATTTGGGGAGTGATTACTAAATAGAAGTTTTCTTACACACACACACACACACACACACACACTCTCTCTCTCTCTCTCTCTCTCTCTCTCTCTCTCTCTCTCTCCATTGTTAGGCTGAACATAAGCAATTCCTGAAGGAGCTGAGTGCATCAAAGGACAAGCAAGCTTATCTCAAACCAGGAACACCTGGTAACCTTGGGACACTAAGCAGCCCACTGAATCCCAGGGCTAGTTCTCCTTCCTGCCTCCTTCTGGCCACAAACAGAAGAGAGCTTCACTAGCCTCAATGCTATCTTTGCCGGGGCCAGACAGACACGCTCATCCAGAAATGTTTCAAACGCCGAGCCTGCACAGATCAACACCTGCCATGAAGACACAAGCATGCACAAACTGAGGAGCTGCCACCTCGCCCCATCCCCCACATCTAAACTGTATAAAAGTCCAGTGCTACGTACCCCGGGCAAGCTTTTCTCTCACACAATTATTCTGCCAGGTGGAAGTGGTCCTGGGCTGTCTCCCATCAGGGAGAAGTCCGTCAGGCTCTTTCTCTTTCATATTCTACCACCTCTCTCGGTTATCTCCTCCCCACAACCCCCAGGCATGACCTCACTGACCCACTGTCATGTGCTGGACCAGTGAACCCCTCTTGGGAACACTCCCAATAAAACTTTCTTTGAGCTGAACTTTATTCTGTGTGGATTTTCCAGTTGTGCACCCCTCATTTGAGCCTGACACTCATTTCTCTCTTACTCTGTCTTTCTGTTGCTCTGCCTTTCAAATAAATAAATAAAATTTGGTTTACATAAGCAATTCTCTTGTGGAAACTACGTTTTTTTTTCCCCAGGGGAGACAGCAAACATAGTCCACTACTATCACAAATTATGCAATCGAGTTTCTCACATTTGGGGAAAATGTAGGGGTCTGCACATCCCAAGTGCAATGGATGAGACTTGCCTTGGGGAAACCACCTGCATGATCATGGTATCTCCCCTGCCAGAGAACAACTTTTCAAAGGCACACCTTCAATGACCAAAAGAAATTCCCTCTGGGTCCACTTCCCAGATGTTGTAACTGAATCAAGCCTCCACTCTTAATCTACCAACTAATAACATTAATCTACTAACTGTTAACAAACAACTCTAGGGTTTCAACGTTCCTGAGTTGGGGAGTGAAACTGCCTTCAGACTATAGCATATAGTATACAGGACAATGGATTACACTGGTTCTGTCACTCTGGAGAAAACTGACAAAATACATATCCCTTAATGCATACATTACAAAGAGATTCAGAGAGGGATTTATTAAAAAGATTTGGCTCACATGGCTATGGAGATTGAGAAGCCTCACTATCTGCCAGCTGCCAGCTCGTGACCTGGAGATGGTAATGCAGCTCAGAAGCCTGAGAGCCAGAGAACTGATGATTTAGGTTCCACTCTTACTCTAAGACCTGGAAACCAAGAAGCCATGGCACAGAGAGTGGGTGTTTAACAGCTCAGGCAGGCAGGCAGAGAGTAAATTTCCTTCCTCCACTTGCTGTTGTTCTACTTAATCTACCACAGAGGATGAAGTTCACCCACACTGGAGAAAGCAATCTGCTGCACTCAGTCTGCACCTTCACAGATACAACTAGGTACCATCTAGAACCAGATATCTAGGGATCCTGTTGCTAGGTAGGAAGTTAGAAACCAGCCTTTGCGTGTAAAAGAGGCATAAGCATAACAGAGTGCCTGTGTGAAGGAATGAAGCAGGCTCTAGTAACCTTGGAAGCATACCTTGGAAACAGCCCAGTATTTTACACTACAGTACCTGCTTATACACTCTAAATGGTTCCAACCTTTTCCCAAAGAAGACACCCAGGAAAATCCTCTCTGTTCAGGGCCAAGTGAGCTACCCAGCCCAACACTGGATAATTAAATCCTGGGGGGGAATATTACCTATTTTCTACCCAGGAAGCCCCTTGTCCACGAGAAGAAAAAGGAGAAATGTTGGGGAAAAATTGGACCTTAGTCCCTTCTAAGTCCCTGAAAGAATACAGACTGCAAACTAAGTCTCTCCTGAGATGCTTGCCTTGCCTATCAGCTGTGTCTCAGCTCAGCTCCTCTGCTCTTTTCCTGACATGTCCACCTGGCCTGTCAAGTGTACTCTTTCCATTAAAGTGTTTCACTTTGCTTTCTGCAGTCTGAAAAGTTAGGCACTCACTTTCAGATTCTGTTTGGAGAGGTGACAATTTGATCCACTCTGATGGATGCCTACTCTATTATACCTTGCTTCTTTGCTTAACACTACTTTCTCTCTCACCTGAGCTGTTTGTTGCAGGAAGAATCTCTGTCATACCCATCTCCACTAATACTATGGATCAGTCAACACAGAAAATGAATCAGCTCCCTGCTAATGGCTTGGGGAAAAGCAATAGCAGATGACCCAAGTAACTACACCCCTGCTACCCACATGGGAAACCTGGATGAAGCTCCTGACACCTGGCTTCAGGTTGCCCCAGCCATGGCTATTATGGCCATCTGGGTATAAACAAGCAGATGGAAGTTATCTCTCCCTCCCTCTATAACACAGACTATATATAAAATTAAATACACACACATACACACACACACACACACACACACACAAATTATAGCAGAAACTGCTGGGTAGAACCTCACTTGACATCAATCGCACTTGACCCAATAGAACCCTATATTACCTATGTATGCACACCTCCATGTGTATGCACACATGCACACATATGCACCTGCATGTATGCATACATGCACAAACATGCTCCACAGGTGACGTACTAAGTTCCTGTATCAGTCAGTATCCTTCAAAGCAACAGAATCAACAGACTCAGCAAAAAGAGTTATGTATGAGAAATTAGCTCACATGATTATAGAAGCCAAGTGTTCCCACCATCTGCTATTTGCCGCTAGAAGCCCAAGAAAGGCAGTGATGTAATTCCACTCCAAACCCAAAGACTGAGAATCAGGAAAGCTGATGGTGAAGCCCTATTTGGAATCCAAGGTCGGAGAGCAAGGAACACTGATTGCCAAGGGCAGAATAAGATGGATACCCTGGCTAAAAGGACGAGAACAAGTCTGTCCTTCTGCAACTTTTATTATTTTCCATTCAGGCCCTCAAGGAACTGAATGATGCCATCCCTCACCCTCATGTTTTGATGACAGTGGATCTTCTTTATTAACTCTAATATTAATCTATTCCATAAACGCCTTGACAGCATACCCAGAAATAATTTGTTAGCTGGGCATCCCCTGATCCAGTCAAACTGATATAATATTAATCCTCATACTCACCATCCACGCAAACCTACACATCCATCACAGGACACATCCTTCCCGCTACCATCAGCACCTGTTATCAGAGTCCCATCTCCACAGGTCATTTCACCCAACAATGCACCTCACTGATTCAATTTCTCTGTCACATTCTGTATTGTGATTCCAAGCCGACTTAAATGATGTTAAACCAGGCTAAAAGTGTGTTTGGAGATCATATGGAATAGAATTGAATGTGAGAAGAGGTGTCAATTATCTTTGACTTGAGTTCATCTTTTCCCTGCCACAGCAGCATTTGAAATTTTTCTATCACTCATTTAGATTCCAATCTCTGAGCCTCCCTCTCCTTTCTTCTAGCTTCTAAATCAAACAGATTTTTCTCAGTAAAATAACCCTTCCGTTACTACCAGGGACAGACTGGTATGTGGGCTACAGCAGATGTACAAGACAAGCTCGGCATTTTAAAGGGTTCAATGTCAAGATAAAATTTATCTAATGCAGCATTTCCTCTCAAGTGCAATTTATCATCCCTTAGATGTTGAACCCCCTTATAAATATTAGATTTCCTTTTTTCACAGAACCCTGTTTGTTATTTTACCCTTGGCTCAAGACGGGCTTTGAAATCAGATTGACTCATTTCATTTCTACTTGTCAATTCACTTTCTTTAACTCCCAATTCTATTTTTTCCCCTTTGCCTTGAAATTCAACATCTATTCCAAGACTTTGAAAAACAATTAGAATGTGGCACTTTTGTGAAAGCTGTTGTTCCAAAATACCTTTTAGCACATCCACATGGAAGAAGCACCTCTTGGTGGAACCACATTCCATGAGAACTGATGATGACTTCAAAGGCACCCTGTGTGTGACCCAGGTGTGACCAGATCTTATGTTATGGGGACTTCGCTATGACCAAGCCATGAGAGCTGATGGCCTTTGAAATCATAAAGTCCAATGATGACGGGATATTAGAACCCATGCTATCACTAATGTCAGCTGGATCTAGGGTACAAACGCAGGGGTAATGGGCCTGACACAGTAGCCAAGTGGCTAAAGTCCTCATTTTGCACACACACAGATCCCACATGGGCACCAGTTCATATCTCACCTTCTCCACTTCCCATCCAGTTCCCTGCTTGTGACCTGGGAAAGCAGTCAAGAACAGCCCAAAGCCTTGGGACCTTGCACCTGTGTGGGAGACCTGGAAGAGGTTCCTGGCTCTTGGCTTTGGGTCAGCTCAGCTCTGGCAGTTGTAACCTCTTAGGAAGTAAAGCAGCCAATGGATGATATTTCCGTCTCTCCTTCTCTCTGTAAAATCTGACTTTCCCATGGAAATAAAAATAAACCTTAAAAAAGAGAGAGAAAGGGGTGATGACTCAGAGTCACCAAGCACGTTCCTACAAAGGTCCTGACTCTCAGAAGGCATCCCAGTATGTCACATGAGCGCCCCCAAACAGGCAGGCAAAGCCATGACTTCCTCGGGTGACAATGAGGAATAGCAGCGCCTAACCTGTAGAAGCCAGGTTAAAAAAAAAAAAAAAAAACTGTGCTAGGTAAGCAAGCTGGAGAGTGGATGCAGCCATCGCTGGGCCCATTACTTTCATCGAGGTTTGGAGAAGGAGGAATCCAGAGACTTTCCAGGTTCAGTGCTGCGCCGACCACCCGCCCCACCAGACGGCTCCCTGCAGACAGGTTTCCTCTGAAATCGTTCACTCGTTCCCAACACTCCCACAGTACCCTGTGACCTTACTGACACTTATTGTAGAAGTGCTCAATACACTGGAACGCTCTATACAGATAACAGATGCTGGGGGTTTACAGGAGAGCCATAGATAATGCACCTCTTCCGCTCCTGAGTGGGGGGAGAAACCCGCGAGGCGGCCAGCCGGAGGGCCCCACTCAGACTTACTGCGGCTCGGTGGACGGCCACCATGGACCTCCCTGCAGAGTCAGGCTGAGTCAAGGCGACTGCGACTGAGAAAGGACTCGAGGCCTCAGTCACAGTAGTCTTCTTCCGCCTTTGAGGCGCGACCACCAAAAGAGGCCGAGCGCGGCCACATGTGCTGCTCTGGGTCCCTCCGGGTGGAAACACAAAGAGAAACCGAAAGTCCGTTCCCACAGTGGACTTTTCTGTGCTTTGTGGTCAGGTTCGTACACTTCACAGACTCTGGATTGCATGGTGGAAATACAATTAGAAGAGATCCCAGTGAGTTTATAACTCGATAGAAGCTGTTGCATCCCAAGCGTTAGGAAAGGTAGGCTTCGTGCAGCCCAGATGAGCTGGGAAATGTTTAACAAGGCGAGATAATTGAGCTGGTTCTTGCAATATGCGTAGAAGCCCAACAAAAGGAGGGAAGAAAGGGGTTTAATCCTGGTAAGGCAAACAGTAGGACAAAGACATGATAACGCATACCTTTGAATGAATGAAATAACATAAAATAAATTTGTGAATCCAATGCTGTATATGATTATATTTTACTTTTCTGTACATAAAGGTTGAAGGTTCAATCAGATTAACAGCCATGTTCTTTATCTTAAGAAAACAAAAAAAGCAATATTGGTACCAGTGTGTTGACATAATAAATAAAACCGGGCCCAGCACAATGGCCTAGCAGCTAAAGTCCTCACCTTGAATGTGCCCCCGGGATCCCATATGGGCACTGCTTCTAATCCCAGCAGCCCCGCTTCCCATCCGGCTCACTGCTTGCGGCCTGGGAAAG